CTTCTCAATTTTTTTTTCTCAAGAAAAATTAGTTATACTATCAACAATAAAGTTTATACATATTAGAGACTATGAACAAGTTAGGATATAAATCTTAATTAATTCTAAAAACAAAGAGTATATATCCACTCTTCAATCACTCCAAGAGGATCTTAGTCTTCATTAACTCTTTGACTATCTAAAAATATGTTAGTCTTTTCAAATATGTACAACAAGGATTCAAAAATAATGTAGGAATACTAAGCAATTCAACAAATAGAGTTAATAAGTTTGAAACACTCTAGAAAAACATAATGAAAAGAATTTTCTATCATAGAAGCAACATTGTGACTTGGTGAAATTAGGGCAACCTTTAATTACTATTAAATCTTTGAATCCACTAAAAATTGTATGTATAGCTAAAAGAAATATTTGTCATTCACTCTTTAGGATTGTAAAAGTTATCTAAAACATTTAGGGTGATTCTCTATTTATTTAGTTTTCAAACATTTGGTTTAAAGCATTTTCTAATACAATTAATCAATTAAATCAAGTTTTTAATTGATTATTCTAACAAAATTTAAAAAACATTTGTCACATTTCTCTATAATAATTTATTATTACACAGTTTAATTGATTAAACATTCTACTCATTAATTTCATAAAACAAGTTTAATTGATTAAATAAGATACAATAATTATTAAGTTGAAATCTCAAAATTAAAGCGCTTGTTAGATTAATAAGTTATTTTACTATATAATTGATTATTTTATTTTAAAAACCTCTTAAGATTAGTTTAATCAATTATAGAAAATATAATTAATTAGAAGTGTTGGAAAAGATTATTTGATTTTAACTTTAGAAAAACATGTTCTCTTTTTAACAGAGGATGCATGTTGAATAAAAAGTTCGAATGAGCATGCAAAATACACAAACATAACAAAGAAAGTTGGATTTTAAAACTTAAACCTTAACATCTTCAAAACACCATAAAAACATTTTCATCCCTTGGATTTTTTATTGGTTACTATTTTGTGAAAGATGATGATGAGTCTATCAATGGAATAATTCATTTTCCATAAGGGAAACACAACTTCAACGAGACTTGAACCTAATTCATATAAGAATCAACACTATTTTCAACCTAAAACCTTAAAACAATGTGTTTATGGGTTTAGATCCTTATAGTGCTCAACATTCTTATTTCTATCCAATTTAGGACTTAGACTCACACTTAGATTCTCAACGATCTCTCCTTCAAGAGTGAGTCCTTTCCACATTGGTACAATCCCTCTTCATGGAAAGCATTCTCAATCATGAGCCATTCATCTTATTGGGACATGTTACCTAAACCATCTATCAAGAGGACTTTCGATAAAACGACTATAGGATACTTATATGAATCGGTCACCAAGACAAATCATTAGCTCTGATACCACATATGAATCTATTGATGAAAGAATTCATCAAGGAGAATAAAACCTGAGCCTCATCACATAAAAAATTAATATCACCTTTAAAGCTAAAGGATTAAAGTTTTGATTTAAAACTAATGTTAGTCATTTGTGTGATTGGACTCGAATCTCATTTGTGTTGTATATCCTTAGTGAATTAACTCCTCAATAGACCTATTAGATAGAGACGAAAGACTTGCATGTTTCATCTTCTAAATTTGGATTACTTTCTCTACATACACACATGTTGAACTTGGTTAGATGATCTAAAGATATAATTGTTTGGTACAAATAGATAACCTACTTTTAATATGGATGGATACTCTAATTCAATGTTTAAATAATATAGATTAAGATAATATGTAATGAAAGAGAAAAACTTTTTTATACACTAAAACATGACATTAGTGTATAATTTCTTGTGCAATGAATTTATCTTGACTAAATGGATAAAGTATTAATATATAGTAAATATGTTTAATACAAATATTCACAAAACACATATGTTTATTGGAATTTATTTTGTATCATTGGTCTAAATATAGTTTGTTTCAGTTATATTATGAACATGATAATTTTATATATATTGAGTGAAATGTTTAATAATTTATATTTCTTTCGTACCACTATTTGATTTCTTACTATAATTATATTCGATACATAGATCATATAAAATGAGAAGGTTCAAAAAGATGAACTGCTCTGATTAAAGTTTAGTTTATTATTTTATTTCATATATTTTTCCTTGTAAACATAAATACTTTATATACCCTTATGTTTGGTAAATCATATTTTATATCGATATGTAAATATTTATTTGTTAAATATTTTAAATTATGTTCACTACAATATGTTATATTAATTATTTACATTTATTAATATTCATATTAATATTTTTCAAATATTTTATAAAATGACAAATATAAAAGTTAGGTCCAAATTTCAACTATTTTTTTAGCATGGATAAAAATTAGGTTCAAATTTTGACATAAAAAACAGGTTTAGTTGGGTAACTCTTTCGACAAAGGGTTATTTTTGCGATTTTTTTAAAATATGGTTTAATAGGAAAAAGTGAGTGTTAATGTTTTATCATTTTTACAAATATTTATTATTATTTTTTAAAAAATAGTCTGTTAAAAAAAGTTCCTGTTTTTATATCTTTTATTTATAATTAGTTTGAATATTTTAAAAGAATGTTTTCGTAAAAAATAAATATAAGTCTGAATTCAACACTTAGGAAACTCTATTCCAGTTTAGTTAGGTGATGCTTAGGGGTTAGGTTAAGTGATGTTTGGATTCCGATCACAAGTTGTCCGAAAATAATAGAAAGTCAAAAAATGCAGAAGACGTGTTCATGCGTAAAACCATCACGATAATATTTTTTATGGTTTGCACTACGAACATAATTACAACAAAAATAAAGTATTATATTAGTTTATACTTTTGTGTCTATTTTACCAAGATTATATTTTATATAAGGAAATATTGATTTTCTAACGATGGTAGTATAATTTGATTAATTAATTCAATTATTAAATATGTTATTTGTTATGCATAATTGTTTTTAATATCTTTCAAAGTTGAGTTTTTATCTGTTGTTATTGCTAAACTCCACACAACAAAATATATTTCTAAACAATGAATCTTCTATAAAGAAATTTAAAAAGGGATGAATATTTTGGTAAAGCTATGTCGTGAAAAAGTAAATTCAGGATGACATAACTATGATTTTATGTAATCTTCTTGTTAATTAAGTAAATTTTTTTGAGCGAGTCTTCACCCTTCTAAATATTTCATAGTCTTTCAAATTCTTCCTCAAATGTATGTCAAGTTATTGAATTTTTTAGAAAGAATACAAAGTGTTGAATAAATAATTTATCACTTAGTTGTCAATAATAATATTATATATATATATATAATATTATATATATATATAATACTTTAAAATTAAACTTAATAAATTAAATATTTACAAATAATCTAATAAACTTAATAAAACAAAATTAAACATTTAGAAATTATCTAATTAAATATTTTAAAATAATCTAATAAATATTTATAAATAATATAATTAAAAATTTAAAAAAAATTCAAAAATCGGATAGGAAATCCGATACATGTTTTTCATATGAATTTTAAATTTTTAATAAACTTTTCATATGAATTTCAAATAAATTTATTTTTTTAATAAATTAAAAAAAACTCATACAAATTATTTTATACAAAAATTTAAAGAAAATAAAAAACTAATACAATAAATTTAACATTTATAATTAAATTATAATAAAAAAATAATACAATAAAATAAATATTTGCAAATAATCTAATACACTTAATAAAACTAAATTAAACAATTAGAAATTATCTAATTAAATATTTTAAAATAATCTAATAAATATTTTAAAATAATATAATTCAAAATTAAAAAAACTTCAAAAACCATGTATTAGAAATCCGATACATGTTTTTCATATAAATTTTAATTGTTTTAATAAATTTTTCATATGAATTTTAAAAAAAGTTTATTTTCTTAATAAATTAAAAAAAATTCCTACAAATTATTTTATACAAAAATTTAAAGAAAATTAAAAATTAATACAATAAATTTAACATTTATAATTAAATTATAATAAAAAAATTAATACAATAAATTAAATATTTACAAATAATTTTAATAAAATTAATAAAACTAAATTAAACGTTTAAAAATTATCTAATTAAATATATTAAAATAATCTAATAAATATTTATAAATAATATAATTAAAAATTAAAAAAAACTTCAAAAAACATGTATTGATATGAAAATCCGATACATGTTTTTCAAAGACATTTATAAATAATATTATTGAGATATGTAAGTAAATCAGATTTTGATATCTATCGGAATTCATTATCTATTGGATTTTGATATCCAATTAAGAGTTAAGAGTTTTAAAATAAATTTATAGACCTATTTGATGCAATAAACTTAAAAAAAAAAGTTGCCAACTTCAATGGAAACCACCAACACAACAGCAACACTTCTCAATAAATAACTTCTCTCAAATCTCTCTCAAAGACCACTAAAAACGGTGGAGAAAGATACTCAAGAAATGAACGGAGGTGTAGGGACGAAGGAAGTATATATTCTACACTCATTCATTGAAATCCTCAACTAAATTCGATAAAAAAAAGGGAGTTGCTCCCTCCACCCCCACACATCTCTTCCTCCACCTCCCCAATTTTCTAAAATGCCAATTATATCCTTCTAAAATGACAATTATATCCTCAAAAGTTAAAATTTTTTATTTTTATTATTTTAATATTTTAATTTATTTAAAACTTCTGATTTACTTCTCTGCACCTCTTCCTCTCTTCCATTTCCGTTTAACTTTCTCTCTTCCGTAAAGCTTCTTCTCCATTTCTCCATTTCCGTTTATTACGTTTAAAAACTAACCATATATAACATTTAAAATTATAAATTTAAATATAAATTACTGTAAATAAAATAAACAAATAAAATAAAAACGAAACGAAAAAGCGATGACATCCTTCAACGGATGTCAACATCCGTTTAAGCGAAACGGATGTCGACATCCGTTTAACTTCCTTGAATCCAGGATATTGGAGAAAGAGCATTTGCAGCATCATGGGAGTTGACTCATTGGGAAGATTCTGAATAAAGAGAATATTATTTGGTGGTGCAGGAGCCTCAGGTACCATGGATTTTGCACCACCTGGATAAGGTATCGTAGGTGTTGCACCATAAGCACCAGAATAGGCTGGGTTTAGTCCCATTCCAGCTAAATTAGCATCATGTTGGTCCTTCCGCTTTTTGCCTTTGTCATCATGCCTCTTACGTTTTTCCCTAGGAACAAAAGTACCATCCGCTTTTGCTATTACATCAGATTTGGTCTTTGCATACTGTATTCTCATGGGCTTATCATAGAAAGGAAATCCTTGCATTTGCCGCAGAGCATTGGAAGCAGAAGAGACCTCCTCAAAGACCACCCAAGCTTGACCTTTGTGTTTTAGGGTTTTACCTGTACGGATGTCGACATCCGTTTCGCCTTCAACGGATGTCGACATCCGTTTCGCCTTCAACGGATGTTGACATCCGTTGAAGGATGTCATCCGTCCAGAGGCAGCGTTGCTTTTTCGTTTCGTTTTTATTTTATGGCTCATGCAAGGATTATAGGTTTGGATATTAAAAAGATTATTGGAAGTATGGGAAGGGTTTAGGGTTTAGGATTATAGGAAGGATTATGACTACGTACTTGGAGAGGAACCACGACAAGGACACTACACCATAAACGCACTGCACCACCTACTGTACCGAGAACAAGAGGAAGATTGCTTGATAATTCTTTTCACGATCACCAAGCTTTGCAGAAAAATATTTTACTCATACAAGGAACTACGTAGGTTATCAGTGAAATATGTTATAAATGAATAAAATTAAAAAACAATAATTTTAAAAATAAAAATTTACTGAGGGGCAAAATAGTAAAGGAAAGGTGGAGGAAGGGGCAAAAAAGTAAAAGGGAGGTGGAGGAAGAGATGTGTGGGTGGAGGGAGCAACTCCCTAAAAAAAATTAATCTACACTAACTCATTAATTACAAGGCATTTCTAGAGATTGAAGGTGCAGGATAAAACATTGGAAATCTAGGATGAAACACCCTTATTGATCTCCTCCTTGTTGTATTGGATTAAACTTTGTCATTGGACTTTTCTATAGTTTAGAACATTACATTTATGACGATTTCTTTTTTCACCTCCATATACTTTTTATCCTACACTCCATAAATTTGTTTATTTTTAATTGTATGATTCAAAATATAAATTTGTATTATGAAATATACAATTTAAAATATATTTTTATTGTGTATTTTAGAATGTACAATCTAAAATACATTTTTTATTTATTTTTGAAATACACAATCTGAAATACAAAAAATATGTTTTAAATTATAATGTATTTTTTATTTTATATTTTGAAATGTATTATTTGAAAATAAAAGTTGTATTCCAGATTTAACAACACAAATTTATAGAGATGGAAGTCCAGGAAAAATGGCCTAAATCTATTCATACAGTCTTCTTTTCTATTCAACTCATTCATTTTATTTGTTGACAAAATTTATTTTGTGCTCTTGAAATATTATGATATATACCACTGTTTCTATAATGCATAAGTTAATTGCAAAACCCTACTCTTCCAAACCTTATTATAGGACACCATTAACCTGTGGTTGAAAAATATAAGTAAGAAGTTAATATTTATATATTTTTCTAAAAAAGTATATTCACTTACCTATTTTATTTTTAATAACAAAAAAATAATTTTTTGTTTGAATTAAAAATATTAATTTTCATGATAATTATACGTGACATAAGAATAGAAAAAAAATAAGTAAATTACAATTTCGATTATATATCTCCTCATTAAATACAAACTCTAAAACAGATACCAAAAATATTTAATGAGAGAAAATAAACATAAAGTAAATAAATATATAATTGAAAGTATGCGGTGTCAAGAAAAGAATTATATAAAATTTCTAGAAAATTGCTTATTTTGGTGAGATCTACAAAAAGGGAAAAAGAAAATGTACAGCAGATGTGGCATGAGAGAGACATCACAGACTTTAGAGAAGAATGAAACAAACGCTGCTAATCACTTTATATTGGTTATTCCATCTTCTGATTGTGTTGTACAAGTTTTGATGTAAATTTTTTGTTTACCTTTTCTACCTTATGCTAGTTTAGATAATAATAAATAATAATAATAAAAATAAATTAACAGAAAGAAAAGGGTAATGCAATTGCTATGAAATGCTGTCATATCAAGAAGCCATAACTCTTTCAGGATTGAATAACACTAACTATCTATCAAAGTTTATGTCTTGTTCCAGTGGAATGGAAACTTTGAGAAAGAATGATGAGATTGTAACAAATTCTGAATCAATCAATCAATCTAAGAACCAGATGTAGCTTTCACTCAATACAAAACAGCAAATTCTGTGTATATCTAAGGGCAACATGACATCATTCCTATGAACAAACCATGCTTACATGAAAAGAAAAGAGAGAAAAAAGAAAACAACAAACTTGGCAAGATATGAGGGAGAAATTACATAAAAAGATAAGTGTAAGTATTAAAAGCTTTCACTTGGTTGGTTGAATCATCATGCAGANTCACCAAGCTTTGCAGAAAAATATTTTACTCATACAAGGAACTACGTAGGTTATCAGTGAAATATGTTATAAATGAATAAAATTAAAAAACAATAATTTTAAAAATAAAAATTTACTGAGGGGCAAAATAGTAAAGGAAAGGTGGAGGAAGGGGCAAAAAAGTAAAAGGGAGGTGGAGGAAGAGATGTGTGGGTGGAGGGAGCAACTCCCTAAAAAAAATTAATCTACACTAACTCATTAATTACAAGGCATTTCTAGAGATTGAAGGTGCAGGATAAAACATTGGAAATCTAGGATGAAACACCCTTATTGATCTCCTCCTTGTTGTATTGGATTAAACTTTGTCATTGGACTTTTCTATAGTTTAGAACATTACATTTATGACGATTTCTTTTTTCACCTCCATATACTTTTTATCCTACACTCCATAAATTTGTTTATTTTTAATTGTATGATTCAAAATATAAATTTGTATTATGAAATATACAATTTAAAATATATTTTTATTGTGTATTTTAGAATGTACAATCTAAAATACATTTTTTATTTATTTTTGAAATACACAATCTGAAATACAAAAAATATGTTTTAAATTATAATGTATTTTTTATTTTATATTTTGAAATGTATTATTTGAAAATAAAAGTTGTATTCCAGATTTAACAACACAAATTTATAGAGATGGAAGTCCAGGAAAAATGGCCTAAATCTATTCATACAGTCTTCTTTTCTATTCAACTCATTCATTTTATTTGTTGACAAAATTTATTTTGTGCTCTTGAAATATTATGATATATACCACTGTTTCTATAATGCATAAGTTAATTGCAAAACCCTACTCTTCCAAACCTTATTATAGGACACCATTAACCTGTGGTTGAAAAATATAAGTAAGAAGTTAATATTTATAGATTTTTCTAAAAAAAGATATTCACTTACCTATTTTATTTTTAATAATAAAAAAATAATCTTTTTTTTGAATTAAAAATATTAATTTTCATGATAATTATACGTGACATAAGAATAGAAAAAAAATAAGTAAATTACAATTTCGATTATATATCTCCTCATTAAATACAAACTCTAAAACAGATACCAAAAATATTTAATGAGAGAAAATAAACATAAAGTAAATAAATATATAATTGAAAGTATGCGGTGTCAAGAAAAGAATTATATAAAATTTCTAGAAAATTGCTTATTTTGGTGAGATCTACAAAAAGGGAAAAAGAAAATGTACAGCAGATGTGGCATGAGAGAGACATCACAGACTTTAGAGAAGAATGAAACAAACGCTGCTAATCACTTTATATTGGTTATTCCATCTTCTGATTGTGTTGTACAAGTTTTGATGTAAATTTTTTGTTTACCTTTTCTACCTTATGCTAGTTTAGATAATAATAAATAATAATAATAAAAATAAATTAACAGAAAGAAAAGGGTAATGCAATTGCTATGAAATGCTGTCATATCAAGAAGCCATAACTCTTTCAGGATTGAATAACACTAACTATCTATCAAAGTTTATGTCTTGTTCCAGTGGAATGGAAACTTTGAGAAAGAATGATGAGATTGTAACAAATTCTGAATCAATCAATCAATCTAAGAACCAGATGTAGCTTTCACTCAATACAAAACAGCAAATTCTGTGTATATCTAAGGGCAACATGACATCATTCCTATGAACAAACCATGCTTACATGAAAAGAAAAGAGAGAAAAAAGAAAACAACAAACTTGGCAAGATATGAGGGAGAAATTACATAAAAAGATAAGTGTAAGTATTAAAAGCTTTCACTTGGTTGGTTGAATCATCATGCAGAAATAGATATAGCATTGTGGTGCAAAAGGGTTGTGAAATTATGCAGAGCAGCATCCAGCCTTTTTGACAGCTGAGACATCATCCTTGGAGCCAACATTGATGGTCTGGCCCTTAGGCAACGCTGCAGGGTCATCTCCAATCTCAAGAGTCTTCCTACTAACAACACGATATATCTGAGTCAGAACTTCTGTGAAGGCATTGTCAACATTCAACGACTCAAGAGCAGATGTTTCCATGAAGAATGTGTTTTCTCGCTCGGCGAATGCCTTTGCGTCGTCCGTCGCCACCGCTCGTAGGTGGCGCAGATCCGCCTTGTTCCCTACCAGCATGATTACAATGTTTGCATCTGTGTGATCACGAAGCTCCTTTAACCATCTCTCCACGTTTTCAAAAGTCACATGTCTGGTAACATCATACACAAGCAATGCTCCGACGGCCCCTCGATAATACGCGCTTGTGATTGCACGATATCTGTGGGAAATACCAAAAATCAGACCATTATGATGGAATCACCACCTCATAGACAAAAATCATTGCTAGTGTGTAGACTTCAAAGTAAAGCTAAGTTACAGAAAAAGAAATCATTGTAGAAGTGTCTTGAAAAAACATTGAATCTTTCAACTTCTTTTAAGTTTGACATCATGTTAGTCCCTTCTCAATCATGAAAACTGATATGAAATACATACTGAGATTGCAGAGCTAGATTGATGTCATTTTCTGCTGTTAATGGACTAAATTGATATTAACTTCTACAATTAAGAGACTAAATTAATGTCAAATGTTGTTGTAGGGACCATATTAATGTAACTATTCGTTACTGAAGAAGTAGACATTAATTTTCTTTGAAGGACCAAGGTGACGTTCTTGAGTCCAGTTTCTCTGCAAAGTTTTTTTGTGCTGTTCCTCTACTGTTAAAATACACTACTTTTGATATATTAAAAAGATTTTTAATATACTTTAAAACATCAAAATCAATGTATTTTAAAGACAGCAGAGGACAGCCAAAAAAAGAGCAGAGAATCCAAATTTGAAGTTACTTCTACCTTTTGGGGACTAAAATNTGGTTATTCCATCTTCTGATTGTGTTGTACAAGTTTTGATGTAAATTTTTTGTTTACCTTTTCTACCTTATGCTAGTTTAGATAATAATAAATAATAATAATAAAAATAAATTAACAGAAAGAAAAGGGTAATGCAATTGCTATGAAATGCTGTCATATCAAGAAGCCATAACTCTTTCAGGATTGAATAACACTAACTATCTATCAAAGTTTATGTCTTGTTCCAGTGGAATGGAAACTTTGAGAAAGAATGATGAGATTGTAACAAATTCTGAATCAATCAATCAATCTAAGAACCAGATGTAGCTTTCACTCAATACAAAACAGCAAATTCTGTGTATATCTAAGGGCAACATGACATCATTCCTATGAACAAACCATGCTTACATGAAAAGAAAAGAGAGAAAAAAGAAAACAACAAACTTGGCAAGATATGAGGGAGAAATTACATAAAAAGATAAGTGTAAGTATTAAAAGCTTTCACTTGGTTGGTTGAATCATCATGCAGAAATAGATATAGCATTGTGGTGCAAAAGGGTTGTGAAATTATGCAGAGCAGCATCCAGCCTTTTTGACAGCTGAGACATCATCCTTGGAGCCAACATTGATGGTCTGGCCCTTAGGCAACGCTGCAGGGTCATCTCCAATCTCAAGAGTCTTCCTACTAACAACACGATATATCTGAGTCAGAACTTCTGTGAAGGCATTGTCAACATTCAACGACTCAAGAGCAGATGTTTCCATGAAGAATGTGTTTTCTCGCTCGGCGAATGCCTTTGCGTCGTCCGTCGCCACCGCTCGTAGGTGGCGCAGATCCGCCTTGTTCCCTACCAGCATGATTACAATGTTTGCATCTGTGTGATCACGAAGCTCCTTTAACCATCTCTCCACGTTTTCAAAAGTCACATGTCTGGTAACATCATACACAAGCAATGCTCCGACGGCCCCTCGATAATACGCGCTTGTGATTGCACGATATCTGTGGGAAATACCAAAAATCAGACCATTATGATGGAATCACCACCTCATAGACAAAAATCATTGCTAGTGTGTAGACTTCAAAGTAAAGCTAAGTTACAGAAAAAGAAATCATTGTAGAAGTGTCTTGAAAAAACATTGAATCTTTCAACTTCTTTTAAGTTTGACATCATGTTAGTCCCTTCTCAATCATGAAAACTGATATGAAATACATACTGAGATTGCAGAGCTAGATTGATGTCATTTTCTGCTGTTAATGGACTAAATTGATATTAACTTCTACAATTAAGAGACTAAATTAATGTCAAATGTTGTTGTAGGGACCATATTAATGTAACTATTCGTTACTGAAGAAGTAGACATTAATTTTCTTTGAAGGACCAAGGTGACGTTCTTGAGTCCAGTTTCTCTGCAAAGTTTTTTTGTGCTGTTCCTCTACTGTTAAAATACACTACTTTTGATATATTAAAAAGATTTTTAATATACTTTAAAACATCAAAATCAATGTATTTTAAAGACAGCAGAGGACAGCCAAAAAAAGAGCAGAGAATCCAAATTTGAAGTTACTTCTACCTTTTGGGGACTAAAATGGATTGGCTTCCTATACATCTTGTGAGACAAAGTTTGGTGGTTGTTGCTATATTTAATACAGCCAAAAATGGCTCCTTTCCACTATTACTGTGTTGCACCATTTTGTGCATATGTATAGTATACCGTTCTCGTTGGCAAATAAAACCTAACCAAAGGATCACATTAAATCACACTCCCAGATAGAAATAATTATCCTTGTCCTACATTACACTTCATACAGCTACCATATTCCACCTCATTAAATATTTCTCAGAAAATTTGAAACAGACATATTTTAGATTTAATCAGTCACATACAAAATCTCAGTCTCATTTCATTTCAAAAAAGTTCCTGACATATGGAACCAAATAAAGCAAGCCAAACTTGAGAAGTCAAGTTGTTCTGTCATCTTCCCACTATAATTTTTAAAATGACTTTCTCTGAAGGGAGCAATGGTAAAGTAAGTCATTTCAATGTTGATAGCATGCACATAATTTGTTATGCATGCATATGTAATAATATCAACATTTAATTTTCCTGATAAACAATTAATATTATTTTATATTCTGAAATGAGTTACTCACTTTAAAGGAGTCAGATCAAAGAAAGAAATGAAGATTTTGTAAGAATCAATGGATCTGGAAGCAATAAACATTTTCACACTCATCCATTATTACAGACATACATTTATACTCTAAAATTTTGGACCATTCTTCAATAATTCATCCACAGAACAACTATATCCCTCCCCCAGCAACCTTGAAACCAACACAAAGGGGAAACAAAACAATCTTAAACCCATTTCATTACTTTTTAAATTCATCAATTTCATGATTTTCATCAATTTCAGAATACGCATCCACAGTACCATAAATAGCATGAAATAGCAACATTCTCCATCCTATAACAAAAAGCTCAATGAATAATCTCATGCTTGCATACTTAAAGATACAAAAAAAAAAAGTTCGATCAAAAGCAAGAACCCCACAACCACCAAAAAAATAAAATCCCATGTTACCTGCATAATTCATCATTGCCAAATCAAATCACACACCATTATCAAAAAAATAAAAAAATAACAAAACACATTAAACTTTAATCAAACCCCCACAAAACTATGGTCCACCCAATGCAGCCCCAATCATCAAACAACCAACCATACCCTATGTTTGCTAGGGGGGAAGACAATAAAAGGAAAAGTTAGAAATCTAAATTGAAGAAAAACCAAAGAAAAAAAATACTAAAAATTCAATATTTATGTGCCAAAAGAAAAACGATCTTTTCCAGTCTCTTTCTTTCTTTTGTTTCATATTTATTTTCATTCCCCTAGTTCAAATCCGTAAAAAAAAAAATAGAAATCTGATATGAGATGAAATGAAATAGTTCCGTCCCAAAATCATCTGAACAATCACTTTCTAAACATAATTACCCTTTAAACAAAAACGCGTTTTTTTTTCACGAAATTTTAAAATCTTGGTTACGTTCACAATAGGAAACCAATCCTTTCCAAACGTCTAAAAAGACAAAAATAGAAAAAGCAGTGACCTTTCTTGGCCCGCGGTGTCCCAAATTTGCGCCTTTACGATCTTGTCATCGACGTGGATGCTGCGGGTGGCGAATTCAACGCCAATGGTGGATTTAGATTCCAAACTGAATTCGTTCTTCGTGAATCGAGACAAGAGGTTCGATTTCCCAACGCCGGAGTCTCCGATCAACACCACCTTGAACAAGTAGTCGTAATCATCGTCCGCTCTATACGCACCCATTTTTCCTCTTCCTTCTCACCCGATCCGTGCCTTCAAAAGATCCTCACTTGATGGTTTTTTCTTCAATTCTCTTGCGGGAATTCAATTGGGTCAGTGTCTATGAACCCTGCAAGTTTCAGCATTGGAAATGAAGAAGAGAGAGAAAGAGGATGGTGTTAATGTTGTTGATGTTGTAATGGCAGAAGGGTATGGAGGGAGAAGCATTCAAAGAAAGAATGGAATGAGTGATATCAAACAATGATAACAATCAAAATGGCTTTGCTTCCATTTACCTTTTCACCCTCATCCATACATCTTATTATTTTTTTTTTCTTTTGGAGTGAGAAAATGAAGGAAAAACCTTCAAATTTAACTTCATTTTTTTTGTGTGGATTTAACTGATTGGAGTTTAATATAATATTTAAGAGTTTAAATATTCATTTATGATTACATAATATGTAATGTAACTTTAAAAGCTTTTTAACTCATCGAAAGTTAATTAAAACAATTCAATATCGATTTATTCATATATATGGTGATATTAATGATATGACTTTTGTATAATTACTTCAAAATTTAGTAAACTTATTTTTTATAATTTTTTAATTGGGTAATTGTGTAAGAAACTACAAAATTTTAAGTACATGTATTCTTTATTTTATTTATAAATAATCTAGGCTAAATTATAATTTTGATCTTCTAAATTTCTTGACCATATTCTTTGATTCTTTTATAATTTTTTATACAACTTCAATCCCTAGATTTTAGAGAAAAATAAAACATGAATTTGGTCTAACAGACCATTTTTGTAAGTTTTTTTTTATTTTTTATATTAATTAAATTAATTTTATCGTATCTTCAACTAATAAGTTAACTTTAGAATTCACTTGTACCGAGTAAAAGAAATAATTCATATGTGAAGATGAAAACTAGGCAATTTTTTGAAGAATATAAGAACTAAACTCATGAAGAAAAATAAAAAATTAAAAGGAACTAAAATTGTAATTTATCTATATTATTAATATGAAGTTTATTGTTGTCTTAATACATTTAATTATACATCTGGTTCAGTAGATCTTCATTTATAATTAATTGTGTAAATAAAAATCTAAGCAATGTAATTTAGAAACAATAGTTGTATTTGGAAAAAATCATCTGCAATAAAGAAGAAAATTACTAATCAAATGAGCTTTCTATGGTGGTGAAAATGAAAAACAAGTAAAAGATATGGCTACTCACCAAAGTTTTAAAAAATGAAACTGAATACTTGCATACTATCACTTATACATTATTTAATATGTTACATTTTATAATAGTGTATATTAATAATTTATTAACTTTATCTTTTAAATTTGAAAAAGGTGATCATTATCATTGTATATTTATATAAATATTATATTTTAAAATTTATTATTATTAAAAAAATAAATTAAAAAATCCAACAGGGGTCAAGATACTAGTACTCATCGAAAAATAATCCTAAAATAGGTCATGAAAATTATTAGGTTAGAAATGTAATTGTGAAACATTGTTTGTAACATTTAAATTTTGCTTACCAAATATATTATTAGAAGTAAAAATAGAGTAAT